TTGTGATATGTGTATATATATATATATATATATATATATATATATATCTGCAGTGGAATATTATCCAGCTTTAAAAAAGGAGATTCTGCCATTTACAACAACATGGATGAACCTGGGGGACATTACCCTGAGTGAAATAAGCCAGAAAGAAAAAACGGCATGATCTTACTTATATGTGGAATCTTAAAAAATTCAAAGACCTAGAAGCAGAGAGCATATTGGTGGTTGCCAGGGGCAAGGACCTGGGGGAAATGGGAAGATATTTATCAAAGGATATAAAGTTGCAGTTATATAGAATGAATAAGTCTAGAGATCTAATGTATAGCATGATGACTGCAGTTAATAATACTGTACTGAATACTGCAGGAGATTTCAAGTGTTCTTGTCACAAAGAAAAAGATGGTAACTATGTGAGGAAATATGTTAATTAACTTGACTGTTGCAATCATTTCACTATGTATATGTATGTCAAATCATGTTCTATACCATAAATATATACAATTTTTATTAAAAGAAATAAAATTTAGAAAAATAAAAAATAAATTGGGGTTCCCACAAGCCCCTTCTCAATTTCATAATTTGCTATAATGGCTCACAGAACTCAGGGAAATACTTACTTATGTTTATCAGTTTATTATAAAGGACATAATAACAAATATAAATGAAGAGCCAAATGAAGAGATAGATATATAAGGTGAATTCTGGAAAGGTCCCAGGTGCAGAAGCATCTGTCCCTGTGGAACTGGAGTACACTATTCTCCTGGCACATGGATGTGTGTGCCAACCCAGAAGTTCTACAAAACCCAGAGTTTAGGAATTTTTATGGAGGCTTCATCATGTAGACATGATCAATTATTAACTCAATCTCTGACCCCTCTCTTCTCCTCAGAGGATAGGGGATGGGGGAAAATTTCCAAGCTTCTAATCCTGTCTTGGTCATTCCAGTGGCCAGGCTCCATCCTGATGCTATCTAGGAACCCACCAAAAGTCACCTCACTAGGACAAAAGATGCTCTTATCACCCAGGAAATTACAAGGAATTTAGGAGCTCTGTGTTAGGAACTGGAGGCAGAGACCAAATATATATTTCTTATTATATCACAACTACTTACTAGCTGTAACTTTGGAGTGTAAAGGACAACTTGACTTTTGGAGTTTCTTACTATGCCATTTCTACTGATGTCACTTTCTATTATTTCTTAGAACTGCACTTGAATATACAATTATCCCAAAATAAAGCACTTAAGTTTCTTTAAGTCAAGTCACAAAAGTGTTCTGACAAATACAGCATTTTGCTATCTCACACCTCCCCACTGTGCAAGCCCATCTACCAAAACTAGTCTCTTAACTCAGTTAGCTATTTCTTCCAGCATTTACTCTTCCTGTAATTTTAAATAATATATATTTTTTGAGCCATCAGTTTTATATATCATTTATTGTCTTTCTATTATTGTAGATAAAGGTCTATGTTTCTACAGTACCATTCTTCTACTTCCACCATTTTTCCAAAATGGTGATAATTATTATTACATCAGTATTCAGCATTTATATTATATATTCACAGATGATCTATTTGCTCTATGTTTCCTTTCTGTTTTCCTAGAGTTAATGTTTTCTTTGATTTTTTTTATTTGCTTCGTTTCTTTGTATTTAATGTCAACTATTCCCAAACTTTCCATTGACTTTTCCAATATACTTTTCCACATCAGGTAACTTATCACTTCCAATTTTCAAAGACCTTCTTCTCTTTCTCTCTAGATTGCTACTCTCTAAGCCTTTTGGACAGCTGTCACCTGGGACTCTCCTCTGCTATCATCCTTAGAATTTCCTTGGCCTTTCTACTGAGTTGGATTCCCTGATCCCTAGATCTCAGGCTTTCTCTCTCTGGATTTACTCTCTTGTCTTGTAGAGAACATCCTCTGGTAGTTTCGTCAAGTTAAATAATTTACCACAGTGGCAGAGGGTTTGTTGACATAAGTATTCTATATACTTGTCTCTGCAGTACCTATCTGTCTGAAAGACCTCTTGACCACCTCAGGGGATTTCCCTAAGTTTTTTTCAGTATCCCATTTCTTCCTATTTCTTGGTTTACCAACATTTTAGGTGAAAACATCCTAGAAAGGGATGCCTAGGAGGAATTTTTTGAGACTTTGAGTGTTTAAAAATATCTTTTGTCACCCTCACACTTGATTGATAGTATAGAACTCCATTCTAGCCATGCTGCCCTACCAGCCATCTGTTACTGAAACATGAAAGACACCCTTCTTCCTTTGGCTTTCTCATTTGCATTTGCTGCATGGCTAAACTCTCTTGCCTCCTTCAGGTCTTGCTCAAATGTTATATTCTCAGTGATCACTCTACATAAGCTGCCAACCCAACATTCTCACCCTTTTTCCCACTTTATTTCTACAGCACTTATCACAACTTGGTATACTATGTATTTCCCATTGTTTGTTTACTTTCTGTCTTCCTCCACTAGACAGTAAACTCCTTGGGGCCAGAACTTTCATCTGTTTTGTTCACTGATATATTCCAGCACCTGAAACAGTGCTTGGCACATAGTAGGCTATCAATATTTATTTGTTGAATGAATGTATAATAAACACTTATTTCCTATCTCTATACTATGCCAAAAAGGAAAGTAATAATTTTCTTGTTATGATAAATAAGAATGGATTTGATTGATATAGAATTAAGCAATTTGTTGGTCATGCCACTTGAATATTTAAAAGAGATTGTGGAATCTCTTTTTAGATTTTTAAACATAAAATAGA